CGGGGTTTAGTCTGAAAGGGAGGCCTTGGTGGTCGGGGGCGGGGTTTGGTCTGAAGGGGCGGCGCTTGGTGGTCGGGGGCGGGGTTTTGTCTAAAGGGGCGGCGCTTGGTGGTCGGGGGCAGGTCTCGGTGGGAAGTTGTTAATATCAGGTGCGCGGGGTACTCTCGCGCTCGGAATCTGGAGAATTCCTGTGGGAGCGTCGCCCTGAACCTCTCCGGAGAATCTGGAGTCGATTTCGATACGGAACCCTGGGCTCCGTCCCAGTTCTCGTTCTCCTCAGTGCAGAATCTAGGCCTCCCCCGGCCGCCATTGGTACGTGAGGTAACCCCGGAGTGGTCGACACTGTAGACCTCACTCCCTGATTGACTCACCCGCTCAGCGGTACCGATCCGTTGCTCTTTTCCTGCTCACCCGAGAAGGGATTGAAAACAGCGACTAGGCCGCAGCCCCACCCACTCCGGCTGCTCCACGGGACAGAGAACTGTCCAATCTGAACACAGGAACTGTAATCCCGCCCATCGGCCAATCACAGTGCGGTGACGGACGATCACTTTCATTGGCCAATCATAGCTTGGGGATATGAAGTGTCTCCCACTGACCAATCACAGTGTGAGAATATGAAGCCTCGTCTGACAGTGAGTCACTCACCGGGCAAGTTCCTTGTCGTCACGTGGGCAACGACCACAAACAACTCATTGTCAGCTGCTCACGATCCCCATTGGCAGCTTCTGCCCAAGAAAAACCGAAAGAACTGGGGATGCTGTAAATTAGGATCAAAAACAACGTTGCTGGAAAAGCTCAGCAGGTCTGGCAGCATCTGTGAAGGAAAAAACACGAGTTAACGTTTCTGAGGAAGGGTCTCCGAACCTGAAATATTAACTCGTGTTTTTTCCTTCACGGATGCCGCCACACCTGCTGAGCTTTTCCAGCAACTTTGTTTTTGTTCCTTTGTCTGCCCAACTGTTCTTTCTCCCTGGGGTACATCTCCATCTATTGTTTACTCCTTCCTTTCCACCTCCAACCCTTCTTTAGAATATACAGCAACCTTTTCCGAGCTGCAATCAGTTCTGAAGAAGGGTGACTGCAACTGAAACGTTAACTCTGCTTTCTCTGCATATATGCTGGCAGACTTGCTGAGTTTTTCCAGCAATTTGTTTTTGCTGAGCCTGCTGAATTGAGTTTGACCACTCCAAACCTTGTCCTCAAAGATGTGTTTATCTGTCCTGCACCTGGTTACAATATCTAATAGCTTTACTCCCACAACCCCCAAAACTAATACTTTACCTCGTTGTTGGTACAATATTCTGCCATTATGGCAGCTGTGGTGGACTTTTCTGCCCCGGGAATAATATCTTGAGCTCAGTATAGCCAACTGGTTTCCTGGTAAGGCCTGTATTTTATCTTCATCCCAAAGAATTCTTGAATGATCATTCAGAAGGTGGGTCTGGAGTCACACGTGGGCCAGACCAAGTAAGGATAGCAGATTTGCTTCACTAGCGGATATTAGTAAATCTTATGAGATTTCACGACAACGATAGATCCATAGTAACAATTACTAAGGTGATGTTGTGTTCCAGGTCTTTCATGAGATCACAAAGTTGTTACTGTGCAGAAAAAGGCCATTGGTATTTTGTGGCTGCCTCTTCATACAAATACTCCCATTCTTCTGCTTTTTCCCTGCACATTGTTCCTTTTCAAATAACAGTCTAAATCCATTTTGTTTACCTTGATGGAATGTGCCTCAGGTATGACATTTCAGTCCTTAACAACTCGCCATGTGGCAACTTTTTCTTTGATACTGCATTTGCTGCTTTTGCCATTTACTTGTTCCTCCTACCAAAATGAATCACTTCACATAACTCTATGTTTAACTTTATTTACCACGTGTCCACATAAGTCACCAGCTCATCTACAAGCCTTTTAAATTCTACACCATTGTGCTCACTATTTACAAATACTTCCAAGTTTCATATCGTTCTCAAATGTTGAAATCCTACTCTGCACATCGAAGATCTAAGTCATGAATATCTACCAGTAAAAACAAGGATACTCTCAACAGTGAACCCTTGGGATCTCTGCACTTTTCTGTGTTTGAGTTTATATCACGTGGCCTTATGCTTTGGGAGAAGAACCCTTGTGGGCTGAGTATAGTATTTGGAGTCTTGGTCCAGCTGCTCTTGCATGAGAAGCCTCTGAGACAATACCTCAGTAATTCCTGGACAACTGCATCTGCAAAGGGCCCCAATGATAACTGCATGTGTTCAAAACATGAGCAGGAGCGGACCATTCAGCCCTTTGAGCCAACTCCAACATTCACAATGATCATGCTTGATCATCCAACTCAGTAACCTGTTCCTGCTTTACCCCATATCCCTTGATCCTTTTAAGCCAAGCGTGAGATCCAATTCCTTCTTGAAATCATACAATATTTTGGCTTCAACTGCTTTCTGTGAAGATTCTTCACTTGATGGTGAAGAAATTTCTCCTCATCTCGGGTCCTAAATGGTTTACCCCATAACCATAGACTGTGACCCTTGGTTCTGGACTTGCTGGTCATTAGGAACATCGTCTCTGTAGCTATCCTGTCTAGTCCAATGGCATATTGGCCTTCATTCCAAGAAGATTTGAATTCAAATGTAGTTGTCTTACTAGAGTTATACAGGGTCTCATGAGACGACACCTGGAGGCTTGCATGCAGTTTTGGACTCCCTACCGAAGGATACACTTGCCATAGAGGGAGTGCAGCAGAGGTTCATTAGGCTGATATTGGGAATGGCAGGATTATCCTATGATGAGAGACTGGTTTGAGTAGATTTATATTCACTAGAGTTTAGAAAGATAAGACGGAATCTGATTGGAATGTATAAAGTTTGAATAGGGCTAACATCATCTAATGAAACATTACACAGAGCAGTATGGCGCACGAGCAGACCCTTCGACCCACTATGTTGATACCGATCATGATGCCACTTAACTATTTTTGCATCAATCTTTACGGTTGAACATTACATTAATACTAAAAAATATGGGGAAAGAATTAGGTGCCATCACTAAAGAAATAATATTATTCCAACCCAATGTGCCTGGCCCTGATGGCTTGCATTCTAGGATCCTAAACAAAGTAGCTACAGATATCCTAAATGCATTAGTTGTAATTTTTCCAAAAAGTGTTGGATTCTGGAGAAGTACTGGGGGATTGCAAAACGGCCAATGTGACACCCCTATTCAAAAAGGGAGGCAGGCAAAAATGTGTAACAAAAGGATGATTAGCCTAATATTTATTTATGGAAAAATGTTGGAATCAATTTGTAAGGAAATAAAAGCAGCACATTTGGAAAATCTAATCTAAGCATGTAGAGTTAGCATAGCTTCATGAAAGGGAAATAGTATCTGCTAATTTATTTGTGTTTTTAAAGTAAATCTCAACCAGAGTGGACAGAGGGGAACCTGAGGATGTGTTGTCCTTGGACTTCCGGAAGGCATTCAATAAGGCACCTCACAAAAATCATTAAAGCTTATGGAGCTGGAGGTAGAGTATTGGCATGGATAGCGAACTGGCTTATCAGTAGAAAATGATAAGTAGTGAAAAAAGTTTTTTTTCCAAGATTGACAACTGGTGACCAGTGGGGTTCCACAGGGTTCAGTGGTGGAACTGCAATTGTTCATAATATGTAGTAATGATTTGGAAGAAGGAAGTGAATGTACTGTAGTCAAGTTTGCGGACACAAAAATAAACAGAAAGGCAGGTTGTGAGTTTACAGAGAGATATCAACTGGGTGAAGTAAGTGGGCAAATGGAGTACTGTGTGGGATACCACAAAGTTGTTCATTTTGTAAGGAGAAACAATATGATTTAAATGGAGAAAACACTGAAAATGCTGCCATAACAAAGGGACTTGTGCATGAAAAAAAACTAGCACAGGTATAGCAGGAAGGCTCATGGAATGTTGGCCCTTATTTCAAGGGTGTTGGAGAATAAGTGAGAAAGTTTTACTGCAACTGTACAAGGTACTGGTGAGACCCCATCTGGAGTACTGAGAGCAGCTTTGGTCCCTGTATTTAAGGAAAGATTTTATTTCATTGGAGTCAGTTCGGAGAAGGTTCACAAGAATGATCCCTGGTATAGAGGCATTGTCTCATGAGCAAAGGCTCAACAGGTTGGCTGTGTAGTCGCTGGAGTTTAAAAGAATGAGAGGTGATCTCATTGATAGATATAGGATTCTTAAGGAGCTTGACAGGATAAATGCTGACAGTATGCTTCTCTTCACGGGAGAATCTAGGACCAGAAGGCATAGTGTCAGAATAAAGGCATGTCAAATTTAAAACCAAAATGAGGAGGAATTCTTTTCAAAGTGTGTCTTCGGAACACTTTGCCAGAGAGCTGTGGGAGCATTATCCTTGTGTATATTTAAGGCTGAGATAGCTAAATTCTCGATTAGTAGGGGAATCAAGGATTCTGGGCAAGGGCAGGGAAGGGGGCATGAGGAATGTAAGATCAGCCAGAATCTTTTTAAATGGCAAAACAGGCTCGAGGGGCTGAATAACCTACTCCTGTTCCTGTTTCCTGTGGTCTCATGGCTGGTCAGACTAGATGCCAGGATGTTTCCTCTGGTCTAAGAATCTAGAACCATTGGACACAGTCTCAGGATTTAGGGTTGGCCATTTAGGACTGAGATGAGGAAAGATTTCTTCACTCACAAGGGTCAACTTGCAGAATTCTCTACCACAGAAAACCGTGGAGGCCGGGTTGCTGAATATATTCAAGACAGACATACAGGTAGATTTTTTTTTTAGATTTTAAAGGCAGCAAAGAGTGTGGAAATAAAGCAAGAATATGGGATTGAGAAAGAGGATCAGCTTGATCATTTTACATTGTAGAACAGGTTCAAAGGGATGAAACACCTAGTTCTGCTCCTAGTTTCAATGTTTCATACTATTGACCATGGAAAGAACCAGGTAAAATAATTAACTTTATACTGTGACCTATAGAGTCATGGAGTCAAGACAGTGCACCCCTCCCATTTCAGTTCTAACAGTTTGTCATTCAGGGAGATCTGGAATTGTTTGCACTGCACTCACCTTTCAAAGGAATATACCATGACTGTGTCTGAACTAACTCCTCTTTGATGGTTATCCATTGTTCAGCTATCATTTTTCCTACCATGTTTTGACTTTTTACTAACTAAATTCTACAAGCTGCAATGGTAAGATTGGAAAAGTCTCCCCAAGCTTCTGGATGAGAGAAAATCCTCGCTTAACATCACTTTGTTCAATGTTGCTTTGCTTTAACAGGTTCTCAGTTGGGAGAATTAAGTCTTTGAATGTCACAACATTTATCATTACACAACACAGACACTGAACATTACATGGTTTCGGAGGCACCATTTTGACATGGGCAAGGTAAGATTGGTGTTATTTTCTCAGTGGATTGTTGGGTAGGAAAACAGTATAAAACTAATTACAGGTGAATTGTGGCAGTCATCCTGGACTAGCCCCTATTCTATTGAACCTGCAAGCTTCTGTTGGTTTTGGAGCACCAATTGGGGCCCTTCTGCGACTAGTTTGTGCTAGTTGGTAACAGTCACCATGTTGAACCAGTTTGGAAGTTGCCTGAAATGTTTATATTGCAGATAATTTACTGCTTTGGTGCCTTAAAATACTGCTTAAATGTGAATCAAAAATGCCCAAAAACTGGTGTCAGAGAGTCTGGTGCTATTGCTATGAAGGCTTCGTATTTAATTTTTTTCCCCTCAGAGGACTTCAGTTTAGAAGCATTGTGGAAAAATTGATTTATTTCAAGTTTTGTGGAGATTTGATTGGACTGATTTATTTTAATTTTTGTGGATTGATTTATTTCAAGTTCTGTTTCAACCAGGGGAGAGCTAGTTCTGCTTGGAATTTCAGTTAGGGAGAAGCTTGTAAGAAAACAGCTACCCAGCACAGCTCTCCTGTTTTAGGAGTAGAACGTTTGATGGAAGTTTAATATAGCACGTACAGCCCTGGTTCAGCTTCTCTAGCCAGAAAACCTCTGAAAGAGTTTGTCAATATTTCTTTGACAATTGCATTCACAAAAGTCATCAACAATAACTGCACATGTTCAACAACATCCTTTTTTCTGCACAAGAATGTCATACTGACAACAAACTGAACATCTCAACCCTTATTCTTTTTGATTTCAAGAACTCAAGACTTATTGACCAATTCTTTTCTAAAGAGCAAAACTCTGCAGAAAGAATTTTATTTTCTGTTTCTCTTTGCATGATGTTGCATTTTGGAATATCTAAAGGGACAAATGTTTATACTTACATGTCACAAACTGTTAATGACTTCTGCACCATCATTAAATTGTTTATAATAAATCATTTAGTACTTATTTAAGAAGCCTGGTTAGTGGTTGTTTACATGTTAAGTCGAAAATAACAAAAGTATATAATTGACTGTAAGGAGACTCATGTTACGAGCTGTCGAGTAGCGAATCTAGATTAAGACTATACATTCCTCTTGTCAGAGTCGTGTTACGGTCGAGTGAAAAAGAAAATCTATTTCTTTACCCCATTTCAAAAGTGTTGCAAGGTTAGAAAACAAACAGTTGAGATCGGGAGAGCACTCGGACAATCAATCAAAATAGTATCTGGTAGAAAGAGATCCATTAACAAAAACCAAAAGCTGTCCAAGTCTTTGGATAGATTTCTTTTCAAGGTCATTGATGATCCTGCATGTGTGTCCCATCAAAACCTGCTCCTCCAACCTACATTGCCTTCAACTCACTTTGGGGAATGAGCCTCTGTATGCAGAAGATGCTTGTCTACGCAGTCTGAGTCATACAGCATGGAAACAGACCCTTCAGTCCAACTTATCCATGCCAACCAGACATCCCACTCTGGCCTAGTCCCATTTGCCAGCATTTGGCCTATATTCCTCTAAATTCTTACTATCCATATATCCTGCGACCACACATGCACCACCCTCTCCATATAAACGTTATCCCTCAGGTCCTTTTTAAATCTTCCCCTCTCATCTTAAACTACCGTCTCTGGTTTTGGACTTCCCCACCCTAGGAAAAAGACCTTGGCTATTCACCCTATCCATGCCCCTCATGATTTTATAAACCTGTATAAGGTCACCCATCAACCTCTGATGCTCCAGGGAAACAAGCCGCAGCCTATTCAGGCTGTCCTTATAGCTTGTTCCAGTTCCAGCAACACGCTTGAAAATCGTTTCTGCACCCATGAAAGTCTTTGAGAAAATGAGCCTTTCACTATGAAACAAAGAAAGGATCCCCCAACCATTATGTCAGGCCAGTGGCGAGGTGCTGGAAAACATGAATCACTTTCCATATCTTCTGAGCCACCTTGTGACAAAAATCAAGCATAACTCATTGCCTCATTCATCGAAAAACTGAAGAAGACAACATTTGGGGATCAGGATCTCAAAGCTGAGACAAAGGTCAAGGTTACCCAGGTAGCCATGATCCCCACATCCTCTGTTTCAAAGACTTTGACAATTTACAGCAGGAACTTCAAAGCGCGGGGCAAATACCACAACAGTACCTTGGCAAGATTCTCCTAATCCAGTGGCAAGGAAAACAGTTCAACAGCAGCATCTTCTACCAAGCCAACTTTCCCAGCAACCATTTGCTAACTAGTTACGACCAGGTCCAATGAAATGCAGTACAAATGTCCTCATGGATTTTCTGAAGAGGCCAAACATGCCCACCAACTGACAAGAGCCCCTGGTTTGTGACTGGTCAAAATGGAGAAGGTTTATTAAGAAACTTTTGGGCAGGGCAGGGGAATCTGAGAGTGCGCACAAACCACGAAACAATCCATCTACCTCACCTCAGTCCTCCAAGCACTATCTGCCCTACATATGGTAATCTGTACAATGTTCATCAAGTCACTCAGAACCCATCAAACCAGACTGAAAGCAGTCATCCTCGATCCTGAGGGACTGCTGGAAAAGAAAGACTGGTGAGTGTTAACTAACTCGATCTAACATTTATACAATATTTGTATTTTTAGTGATTTATTTGCCAAGTTATTTCATTCAGGGATGTACAATTTTTCTAGACAAGAAATATTCAAAAGAACCTCACTCCTGTTCATATGTTGATCCCTATAATGACATTGGATTGTGAAATTAAGGAACACAGTTAAGACTTGAAGTGAGGAATGACTCGACTAGTCCAGAGACATTCCCACTCTTCCACCATCTTCTCCTATTCATCCAATTCCGGTTTAGACGTTGAATCTGCTCCAAGAAGTGCATTCCGATTCACGACTAGTTGCTTAAAGCCGTTTCTTCATTTTGTTCCCAGTTCTTTTGCCAATCACCTACATCCTCTGGCTCCTGACTCTCTTGTCACCAAAAATAACATCTTTATTTTGACTACCAAAACCATTCATGATTTTAATCACTTCTGTCAAATTTCCTCTTAACAATGCCCAGATTCTCCAAATAATTGAAGGTCCTTAGCCTGGCACCATTCTAATTAATCTCATCTGCATTCTCACAGAATGCCCAGTGTGGAAATAGGCCTTTTGGCCCAACAAGCCCAACTGAAGAGCATCTTACCCAGACTCACTCCCCTACCCTATCCCTGAATTTCCCATGGCTAATGCACCTAAACTACACATCCCCAGACACTATGGGCAATTTAGCATGGCCAATTCACCTAACCTGCACATCTTTCGACTGTGGGAGGAAGCCAGAGCACATGGAGGAAACCCACGCAGACATGGGGAGAATGTGCAAGTTCCACACAGACAGTCACCCGAGGCTGGAATTGAACCTGGGTCCCTGGTGCTGTGAGGCAGCAGTGCTAACCACTGAGCTACTGTGTTGCTGTTCTCTCCAAGCCTTGACATCCTTCCTAAAATGTGACTTGCAGTCTGAACAACAGACTCAATTTTAGACATAATTAGTGCTTTGTTTGTGAAGTTGTAACTTCCTTGCTCTCAGCTAAAGCCCAATGATTCCATTTCCACTTTTGTTTCCAAATTTAGTCTTCTTTGCTTACCCAGTCACTTTTAAACTATGTATTCACGTTCCGCCAATAGAACTTAAATTTTATAGTCACAGAGGTCTACAGTATAGAAAAAGGTTCAGGAAACCTGTCTCAGCAATGATCAAGTAAATTTGCATCCACAATCCTGGGATCAGAAACCTGCAGACAGTGTACTGGAAAACACATTTATTTCTGAATTTAGTTCTGCATAGTGCCAACTACGATAAAAGATAAAACAATCTTTCTTTGTTTGATTCAGGCAATTTATGTATAAAAAGTGAAGAGAAAATTCTTTAGCTGTGTCAACATTTGAAAACGCAAGCCCAGAGTCCAGGGAAAAAAACATAAATTTAGAGGCCACTTTGATATTAGGAGGCCAAGAGGCTACTGCATAAGATAAGGATGCATGGCATTAAGGGTAAAGTATTAGCATGGATAGAGGATTGGTTGACTAACAGGAAGCAAAGAGTGGGGATAAATGAGTGCTATTCTAGCTGGCAGTCAGTGACTAGTGGTGTGCCTCAGGGATCGGTGTTGGAACCGCAATTATTTACAATTTATATAGATGATTTGGAGTTGGGGACCACGTGTAGGGTGTCAAAGTTTGCAGATGACACTAAGATGAGTGGCAAAGCAAAGTGTGCAGAGGACTGTGAAACTTTGCAGAGGAACACAGATACATTGAATGAGTGGGCAAAGGTCTGGCAGATGGAATACAATGTAAATAAATGTGAAGTCATACATTTTGCTGGGAGTAATAGTAAAAAGGATTATTACTTGAATGGTAAAAAGTTGCAGCATGCTGCTATGCAGAGGGACCTAGGTGTCCTTGTGCATGAATCATAGAAGGTAGGTCTGCAGGTACAACAAGTAATTAGGAAGGCAAATGGAATTTTGTCCTTCATTGCTAAAGGGATTGAAATAAAAAGCAGAGAGGTTATGTTGCAGCTGTACAAGGTGCTGGTGAGGCCACACCTGGAGTACTGTGTGCAGTTTTGGTCTCCTTACTTGAGAAAGGATGTATTGGCACTGGAGGGGGTGCAAAGGAGGTTCACTAGGTTGATTCCGGAGTTGAGGGGGTTGGCTTATGAGGAGAGACTGAGTAGATTGGGATTATATTCATTGGAATTCAGAAGATTGAGGGGGGATCTTATAGAAACATATAAAATTATGAAGGGAATAGATAAGATAGATGTAGAGAGGATGTTTCCACTGGCAGGTGAAGCTAGGACAAGAGGGCATAGCCTCAAGATTAGAGGGAGCAGATTTAGGACTGAACTGAGAAGGAAATTCTTCACCCAGAGGGTTGTTAATCTATGGAATTCCTTGCCCAGTGAAGTAGTTGATGCTACTTCAGTAAATGTTTCTAAAAAAAAAGTAGATTTTTTTTGAACAATAAAGGACGCAGGTAAGTGGATCTGAGTCCACGAAAGGATCAGCCATGATCTTATTGAATGGCGGAGCAGGCTCGAAGGGCCAGACGGCCTACTCCTGCTCCTAGTTCTTATGTTCTTATATACAGAATAGCTGCAAGAAGTAGCCATGGGCAGAATTAAGATTTGCGTCTCTCACTGAGCTGAATTTCTCAGATGGCACTGATCACCCGCAGTTCCAAGTGTGAATTCTCTATGGGATTTGTGTGGCGGGGGAGGAGCTGGTGGTGGTCAGCAGGCTGTCCCACTTACATGGGCAAAGCACAGAGCTAAGCCTGACCTCCACAGCTGCCAGAAGATGCTGCTCTGACTGATTCCACATCACTGCCACTGACCACAAGCAGCTGAAATCAGTGGATTTAGCAAAGTTAGATAGATTTTAAGCTGGGCTGAGTGCAATGAGAATTAAATCATTTAAAAGGAACAATTTAAAAGGATATCCAGTTTCAAATATAATATTCAACAACTTTGGTACATGACTTTCTGACTGCCCAGGTGAAACCTCATGGGAGATCTTACATCGTCCCAGAACCTAAATATAATGCAAATAACTTTTCAGTGCATTGCCACTGTAAGAAACCAGTTGGTAAACTGGAGAATGACAAAACTGTCCATCACTTTGAGTGAGCTGACTGCACGATGTGTTCACTCTGCAACCCCCACCCCCGACCTTGAACTTGCTGAGTATAACAGTAAACAATGGGCTTCCAAAATTGCGGCTATGAGACATGAAAAGTTTGATCTGGCTAACATGGGAGCAGGACCGTTACTAGCACAGTGCAGTGGTCTCAGGAAATGAAGGAAAATCCTTAGACATGACATTCAACAGTGCTTGGTATCAAGTGATGAGAACCACTGGAACACTGATCTCAAACCCAGACCAGCTCCCATTCAGCTGCTCCATTTCATGTCAAAAAATGCTTCAAAACGAAGCAGTCTTTATAAAATAGCGATGCGAAGTGTGTTCACACATAGCAAATTAAAATTACTAAAATATCCACAATTCACATTTCAATTGTCCCACCGTAGATGTGTGTTCAATTTGGCCTGAGCTCCAAAATTTAGCTTCCAGCCTTTGTTACCCCTTCCAGCAGGTGGAGGCCGCTGATAATTCTGGTGCTGCCACTGTGGCTGATTGTTCCACCGCGAGGCGTCCGGCTGACCGCCCCACCGCGAGGCGTCCGGCT